GTGTGTGTGTGTGTGTGTGTGTGTGTGTGTGTGTGTGTGTGTGTGTGTGTGTGTGTGTTGTAGGCATCAATCAAGGCAGTTGTTACAGGATCAACCATTTCCCCGATGACAACGACTACGACACAGACAGCTCAGAGTATCTTCTGCGTAAGTTTTGCCCACTCACTCTTTTTTTTTAATCTGTCATTGTTAAGGCTGCCAGACGTTCATTGTGTCTAAACTGAACAATTGACATTTTTCATAAACTGATACACTGATAAGAAAAGCGCAAGTTTCATTAAAACATGGCAACATTTTAGTGGAAAAGCTCTACTTATATAGACATGCAAACACAAAATAGGAAACATAATTTAACCATGAGCTTAAAAATAACAAGAAAGCACATTTAAAGGGTTCTCWAAAGTGTTTATTAAAAATTATCCTTTTTATTTCTTTATATATCAAAAAATGTTCAGAGGCCATGCTTTTTTTTTTACTGAGCTTATGAAATATAATTCAACCTTCTATTCCTCCTCCTCATTTGCTCCTGCTAATGAGGTGAGTTTTGGGTTTTGTCRAAAGTCTGAGAGGTCTTCTTTGTTCCTTTTATCTTTTAGGCAAAATGTGAAACAGRCTTGCTTTTAAAAAATGGTCCTTTTCTAACTGAATATTCATTAAATATTAGAAGAGTGAAGATAAGGATGGCCGGGTGTAACAAAACAACAACATGGGTCTATGTTTATTACACTGAGCACATGATGCTATTTGAGTTTTAAATAAGTAAAGCATGTTTTAGTTCATCTGGGCYCACAGGAAATCAATGTGTATATTATATAGTAACTGCTTCCACCATTATTATATGACCTCCCCTGAAAACACATTAACTTCATAATTCSTCTGAAATACAAAGAGTACTCTTTGCTACATGTTTCCATTTTTCTGAGTCAAGCATAAAATCAGTTATAAAATACAACGATGATGCACTCAATGCTCTCTGCTAACAGAYTTGACCTGGAAGGACAGGCAGCATTAATTACAGATTACCATTTCAAATGGATAAGAGAGCAGAGGAATACATTGCAATCCCTATCAAAATGTTGAACATGCATTAGTTTTTAAGGACATTTTGTGGATAACTCTCTGCTACTTCCACWCCAGCTTGTAGCACAGTGTGTAAAACTGACCGAGCCATGTTTATGTGAGCTATAGTTGATCAGCTGTGGTGGTCAACTTGAACTGACTTGATGTTAGTTGGTTTGAAATTAACTGGCTGTAGCCGTGSATCCAATGTTTATTTTTTAAGAGTTCCTTAAATTTTTCTACAGTTTGTGATGTATTTTGCTGAAAATCGAACAAACAACCACACACAGGCATAGGAAGTCAGATGATTGCAGGTTTTTCATGGGAGCAGGTGTTATAATGTAAACAATAAAGATAATAAAACATGTTCCCAAAACATTCTATCCATTGCCATTCTGATACGTTGATTCAGTATGCCTTTTACATGACGAACAAGTTGGCTTACCAGAATTTGGAAGAAGTTTAGTTTAGTTTGTTTTGTCAGCCCAAATAAAGGAGGTTCTAATGAAAGGCTGCACAGCTGAATGGGTTCAGCCATCCTTGAACAGGCAAAAATGATGACTCACGTTTCATGTGGTGATAGTCGGTGAGTGCTGTTGTTGAAACCCACAGCTGATTAGCAAAGCTTTGTGATAAAARGGCTTCAAAGAGTAATTTATCCAGGAGAGATGGTGGAAAAGTGTTTAGACTGAATTGACAATAAAGTCGTCCATCTTCTTGACTTAYGACTTCTGTCAATACTCATGCTCCTTGACCTGAGCTCTGCCTTTGACACCATCTCTCACCCCATCCTCATCAACCGACTAACCTCTACGGCATCTCAGACACCCCCCTGGACTGGTTTAAATCCCATCTTTCAGACCGCACTCAGTTCAAACAACTCAAGTCCTTCCGCTCCCAGTCTTCACCCATCTCCACCGGTGTTCCCCAAGGTTCTGTACTCGGTCCTCTACTTTTCATAATCTATCTGCTCCCGCTTGGCCACATCTTCCGTAAATTTGGTATCCATTTCCACTCTTATGCCGACGACACTCAACTCTACATTTCAACAAAACCGAACTCCACCTTCTCATCCTCCACTGTTACCGACTGCCTCAATGAGCTCAACAACTGGTTCTCTAACAATTTCCTCCAACTAAACAATAACAAAACTTAACTCCTACTTGTTGGGACAAAAAWCTCCATTTCCAAATCCCAGCATCTTCTCTTCACTCTTAACAACTCTGTTCTTTCCCTTCYCCTCAGGTCAAAAACCAAGGTGTCTTCTTTGACACCACACTCTCTTTCAACTCGCACATTGACAATGTGACCCGAACTGCCTACTTTCATCTTCGCAGCATTAACTGTCTCCGTCCTTCACTCATCCCCCGCTCCACTGCCATCCTTGTACACAGCCTATTAACATCCAGGATCGACTACTGCAACTCCCTACTGTTTGGCCTCCCCAATAAATCTCTTCACAAACTACAGATGGTTCAGAACTCAGCAGCCCGTGTAATCACTCAAACCTCATCCTCAGCCCACATCACTCCAGTACTACAACAGCTCCACTGGCTCCCAGTTAAATCCCGCATCATCTTTAAAATTCTCCTACTCACCTTCAAAGCTATCCACAATCTTTCCCATCCTTACCTGTTTGACCTACTAAACATCTCCACACCCTCGTGCTCTCTAAGATCTGCCTCCTCCCTCCAACTCTCYGTACCCACTGGCCGCCTCATCACCATGGGGAGCAGACCTTTCAGCCGCTCTGCTCCGCAGCTCTGGAACTCACTACCCCATGGATTACGCAATACCACCTCTCTCTCCCTGTTTAAGACTGGCCTGAAGACACATTTTTTCGAATTAGCCTACCACTGTTAACTCCTATTTTCAATATACTGTATGTATGTTTTTGTTGTCCACACTTCTATGTTTCTCCCCCCACAACCTCATTGTTCAATTTGTCTACATTTTTGTATTTTATTATATGACTGTTCTGTACTCCGCATTTCTGTTTCTCCCACACTACCCTTATGCATATACATGTATATACATTTTTTTCTTTTTCTATTGTACATTGTCCTTGGGTGTCATGAAAGGCGCTTTATAAATAAAATGCATTATTATTATTATTGTTATTATTATTATTATTATTATTATTATTATTATTATTATTATTATTATTATTATTATTATTATAAAGTGTGCTGCTTAATTAATGTACAAACTCTGGTGGTGCGTTGTTCTGTTCTGGTCATCAATGCTAAAGAGACTCTTTAAAGTCTAATCAAGAACTGGCTATTGATTGGTGCTAAAACCATTCTGGTCTTCCTCCAGGTATAGTTCGTGCCTCCAGCGTGTTCCCCATCCTCAGCACCACCCTGTTGATGCTCGGGGGCATGTGTGTCGGCGTGGGCCGGGTCAACAGCAAGACAAACAACGTCCTCCTCAGCGCAGGCATTCTTTTTGTAGCTGCAGGTGAGATGGATGACACAGTACATGCTCCCAGCGAGGAGCAATCATGTGGGCTGGAGTTCCTAATGAAGAAGGCTGTGGCACTCAGGATCCCACGCTGTACTTAATCAAAGGTGCACTTATAAAGACAAACTTGATTCTTCCCCGAGGAAGGTCAGAATGTCGTTTCACTCAACGTACAAGTGACCAACGTGGAAATCTGTCATTAAGAGCTCAAGAAATTACAAAAGAGCTGCAAACTTTGGCTGATGGATGACTTTGCACAGTGTGTGTTCACAAGTCTGGTTTCATTTACTATGTAGTAAAATCATGAATGAATGGTTTTGTGAACACATTTCACATTTCTCTTTCTTCCTTCCTATTTTTCAGGTCTTAGCAATATAATTGGCATCATCGTTTACATCTCCAGCAATGCTGGTGACCCAAGCGACAAACGTGACGATGACAAGAAGTACACTTACTCCTATGGATGGTCGTTCTACTTCGGCGCCCTCTCCTTCATTGTGGCCGAGACTGTGGCCGTCCTCGTCATCAACATCTACATCGAGAAGAACAAAGAAGTCCGCTGGAAGGCGCGACGTGAGTTCATCCGTTCGCTCTCTTCCTCGTCCCCTTACTCAAGGATACCAAGCTTCCGCTACCGCCGACGGACGTCTCACGCCAGCTCTCACTCCACGGAGGCCTCCAGGGAGAACTCGCCGGTTGTTGGCCTGAAAGGGGCGCCGTCCTCCAGCGGCCCTCTGGACGAGCTGTCCATGTATGCCCTGGCYAGAGACAGCGTGACGGAGAACACGTACAGCCCAGAGCACGAGAGCAGCGCCGAGTTCCTCCAGGTCCATAACTGTTTCCCAAATGATTTAAAGGACGGGGTGAACCGCAGGACCACGCCTGTGTGAGAGGTGCACTGTTGAGCTTCAAATTCACCTGAATGGGAAAGAAAAGGATGCAAAAATCCATGTCCTGCCCCCCCTGGAGGCTGAGCATTTGTGGCTTTCTGCCCTGTTAGAGAMAGTGTCCATTTTGAAATGACCAGCGTAAGTCAAAAAAACAAAAAAATGAGCCAATGACCCAACTTGGGAAAATGACATTGCTATTTGAAACCATCAATGCAGAACAGAGTTATTATTGTCTGTGCTGTAGCCAATCCAAAATGAACTGTGAGCAGTAATTATTCTTACACTTTGTGGGTAAACTTGAGAGTGAAACCTTGAGACGTGTTCTTCTGCAGTATTTTACTTGTAAATCAAACATCTTGGTGCTAAATAAGAGATGGCTTTCAACTTGAAAGTGTTGCATTTGTATGTGATGTTTTGTGCTCATCTTTTAATCGAACCATCGGTTTGAAAGAGACAACACTCACAAGAGTGCAGCTGGGAATCAGCATCTTTACAGAATGGTCTGTCGAGTTGTGATATAACACATGTTTAGCTACCTTTTTCCAGATTTTGTCTCCCTTCTCACCATCTCTTCCTTAAAACACATTCCTCTCTGACATTCGTCACAGCGTGGAACAAAATGACTTCTGTTCAGTGGTCTCTTTTTATTCCTTTCCATAACAGTCTGCCATGTTTCCATCACACCCTCTGATGGATGTGTTGTTTGGGATCTGCCTGTTCTGGATAAAAGAACCAACAGAAAGAGAGAAAAATAACAGGAGGCACCCAGAACTGTAAAACAACACAAGTCAGGACTTCCTTTGGCTCTGACTGGAGCCCTGGCATCGAGTGTTTAACGGATCAAAATCACAGCCAGACAGGGAATCCACGTCTGTCCATCAGAAAGCCTGAGAGTCCATCTGGCTGCCTCACCCCAAACAGAAGCAAAGAGAGCTGTGTGAAACTGAAGGATGTGGTTCAAAATACAGTATGAGTGTGTGTGTGTGTGTGTTTGTGCTGCTATCCTGCAGGCCCATGAATGCTCTGTTCTTTTAGTACTCTCAGGAATTACAGTGAAGTCGTGACTGGTTGAACTTCAACGTTTTTCTTTGCCATCGTAACAGGAGATGGACCAGTGATGAAGAAAAACCTCCACAAATGACTGAAGATTAGAAGAAAAGGAAGTACAAAATGCCATTCCTGTKTTTGGTAAAATGCTGTGAGTGTTTGCTTGAGTTCGCTCTAAGAACCACCTGGAGTGGGTTTCTTCAGAGGTGGGCTCAGTCAACCACAGAGTCGTGTTGTGAACCTGATAACGCCATTGGAGATAACACTTCATTTATCCAGATGAGCACATGTACAAAAAATAAAAAAAGCCATCAGTGTACCATTTTTATATTTAAGTCTGAGAAGGAGTCAATACTTGTTTGTAATGTAAAGCTGTAAATAGAAGTAAAATAAAAAAAGAAACTAATGTAAACAGAAAAATCAAAGCATTATTTAGCTCAGTAATGATGCTTTGATGAGTCTGAACATGCTCATGTAACTCAGTGTACCTTTTTATATTTAGTTCTAACTAATTTTGCTGTTATGAGTCAGTGAGTCTATGAAATATTCTGTTTTGTAAAGTGAAGTACAATGAGTATCTTTAGAAGAAGAAACTATATTTTCTATTACATGTATTGGCAGCTGTACTTTACTCTGTGTGCTTATACTGATTTATGGCTTACTATATATTGAAGCACTTTCTCAGTTTTATTCAAGGAACAAAAAACATGAATTTTAAAAGGGAACTTGATGAGTTGCACATAATTAAAAGGGAAATAAACTAAGGCAGCCTTGCATTTAAAAAGGTCTTTTTCCTGTTATAGTACATTCAAAACCAAATTTATCACTATTGTAAAGGTATTTTCAGTGCCTTTGCTCTTTTTATGATTGACTACATTTCCTGCTTTTATTGTTCTTATTAGAAAAATGTATTTTAATTTATGCTCTGGCCCAAACATATTGTACTTAGACAAATAAACAAAATCAGGGTTACAATGTTTGTACCTGGGTGGTGATTTCTGCAGCCTGGCTGTGAACTATAAATCCCTGTGCATGTCTACAACGTTTAAAATGACTTTTTAGTGTAGTTTAAGATACTTGACGTGGGTTCATGAGCTGCTTTTTGAATGGGACAAGCACATGTGTATGTCAAGAAACTTTAAGACATTAATGGGTAATGCTTTTATTTCATTTTTTTTTTTGCATATTCTTCTTGACCAAATAAACTCCAACAGTTTTCAACAATTTTCAGCATAAGTGCATAAAAATAATCTTGAAAATTGATGATATTTTAACTTTAATAGTTAAATCTTAAAAATAATGGTTTATGGCTATAGTACTTGGACTAATCTTCTACCACAGCACATTTTTAACTTAATATCTATAAAATGAATTTTATTACAATTATCTATCTATCTATCTATCTATCTATCTATCTATCTATCTATCTATCTATCTATCTATCTATCTATCTATCTATCTATC